GGGGGGGGGGGAGGAGGGGGCGCGTGCGACATATATGTATTCCCAAAAACGTCTCTCTCCCTCCCTCACTTCTTCCCCCATTTCGAGAGAGCGCGATCTTTAGTAAATAATTCAATCGCGGGGGTTTACGCATCGCGGGAATGACGCTCTCACGAAGGCAGAGGCCCTCCGAGAGGCTTCCTCGCGAAGCAGAAGCAGAGGAAAATGTGGGAGAACCGCGGAGAAACCGCAAGAGGACGCCGGGCGGAGAGAGGAGGGAAACACTTTTCCACGCGCGCGATTTAATCCGGCGCGACGCGCGTGACACGGCGCGGGGGAGTGAGAGGGGGCAGGAGAGGGTGAGATTGAACGGATCAATGCGGAAGAGAGGCGTTTTCGAAGTGGGACGACGACGATATATAGGACGGCGGCGACGCGCGAAATCCGTGCTCGGCCGAGCCGCGCATTTTGTGTGCGTCGCGGCGCGATCGCGCTCGGCGTGTAATAACCGATCGGCGTCGTGGAGTCGCGTGACGACACGAGTCGCCGACGACGACGAGGTACATGAGAGCGCGGGGACCTTCGCGCGTTGCGTTCTGCTTCTCCTTCTCTTTCGATCGGCCGCCGAGGACGAGTCGAGAAGAGAAGAGAAGAGAAGAACAGCGGAGGAGAGAGAAGTTGGCACCTCGCTCTTCGGCACCGCGATTTCTGTTTACAACCGAGTCCTAGGGCCATATTAATAGTCGTCACTCGACACCCGTCCCGCGTGAGATACTCGGATTCTTATTCATAGTTAGATCCAAAATTGTCCGTTAATTTATGTGATATATGTGACATTACACCTGTAATAGCGTTTCAACCGAAAAACTTTCAACTCAAACTCTGATCTGTGAGTATCTCGCTCGAGAGGAACTTCAATCACTATTAACACGGGCCCTGGATTGAGCCGAATAAATTGCGGCAATAGTTTCGTCGCATTAGATTCAAAAATGACACTTGAGAAATATGAAGTATCAACTTACTACTTGAATCTTCAAAGAAGTCGTTTCAACTTGGAATCTTGTCAAAGTGTCATTTCTTCACTAATTCAGCAAGACAATTGCTGTAAATTATCAAGAGTTCTGCAACTGTAACGTGACGAAATTGAAAAGAATTTATATGACAGAAATTAGAACATACATATTTTCTCCGTGCAGGGTGCCAACTTCACGAAGGACATTTTCGAGGAGGGTGTTGGACGACAATACGACGATTCCGTTCGAGCAAATCGGTCGCTTCTAACGTGTCCTTACTACCGATATTGCATGTGCCAAAAAATACAGTGTTCATTGTTAAATAGCTATCTAGGAGAATCTAGGAAATATATATAGTTATTCTCTCAATATTGCAGTTTACGGAAGTCGCGCCGCAAAGAACGCCCCGGCCCAGCTCGCTGCCATTGATTCCGATGTAAATGCGCTTCGAGACCAATTCTTTCGTCGGCTCAATTCAATAAACGCCTGCACGAGGTCGCGGGCGGATATGGGGAGACAATAGACGCAGTCAAGAGACGAAGTATTATAATAAAGGCAGCAGGCGGCGCGTATGCGTGCGTGCGTTCGCTCGTGCAATTTGCGAATTTCTTCGACGAGAGAGAAGAAGAACATCCCGATACGCTGGCGAGAATATCCGCACAGACCCGCGCGTGTTTTGCGCAATGCGTGCGTGTATGCGTGCGTGCGTATGTATGCATGCATGGTCTGCCTGTGTGTGTGTGTGTGTGTGTGTGTGTGTGTGTGTGTGTGTTCACACGTATACGTCCATGCGTGCGTACGTGCATGCGTGAGTGTACACGTACGGCACACATGCGTGCACATACGGCGATTGCGTAACGATCGATCGCTGGACCGAGGAATAAACTACGTATAAATAGGACGACACTTGTACATCTGTACGTGAGGTACGAACAACACTGAATTTCAAAGTAATTGCGGGGACAAGTAATATACAACGGAAGTCGAAGGAAATTCGCAGGTACGCGCGTGTTGTATTGTCCCTGTGCGCCTATCTTCGTGTTGTTTCGGCCGTGCGCGTGACAAGCGCGTGCGAACAAGCGTAATTATTTCTCTTTCTCTCTCTCTTTCTCTTTCTCTCTCTCTCTCTCTCTCTCTCTTCAGAGCGCTTATGAGTCACGTCTGAGGAACGCCGGTCGCATCAACGCGACCAGGGGCTGAGAGCAAGGAAAGTCAACAGGTCGAGTCTCGTTTCTATCGATTTGTCGTCCCTTTTTCCGGAGATTCTAGTTCAGCTTAGACGCATCGATAGACAGAAAAGAAGAAAGGAGACGGAGATAAGAGAGGAAGGTGACCCTACGGGTCTCCCAATCCCGCTCGAGTCTAACCCGTAGCGTTCGGTTATTGCTCGCTGCATATTCTCGACACGTACATATTTCCACGTTTACAAATTACATACTCAGTCATTCGCGTAATTAAAGAAATTCGCTTCTCTCGTCGACATCGTACACTATTCTCGTATTAGACATAAATAACATTTGGAAACGCAGCGTACAGTGTGTCGAACGCGCGTCGAAAGCACGGATCTTTGTTGGAGAGGCAGAGGGTCGGGTTAAGTCAAACCCAAGAGATTGGACGAGCCTGAGATGTGAAATCCGCGAGAAAACCGGCGTCGGTGCGACCAGCGCTTAAGCCGACAAGCGCGAAGGTATTCGGGGGATGGAAAAAATCGCTCCCGGAGGAGAGCCACACTGCGGTGAACACTATGACACTATTCTGGTTACCTAACGCTAATATTTACAGAAAACGCCCGCGAGTGGCGGGCGTTCGGTTAAAGCTTCCCTTGCAAGTGCAACAACCCTTTGAGCCACGTGGCGCCAATTGGAAAACCAGAGACGAGCGTTAAATTCAGCCATAATATACAGGTTATCCCATATCGACCGTCAAATATTGAATTAACAGATGGTAAAAGTCAAACTGAAACGAAAAGTCCTTTACCATATTTTTAATACGAGCTATAGTCAACGAGTTGTATATAGAGCGCGCTAAGCATCAAACTTAATCAATAACTCGTTAACTATTGCTCGTATAAAAAATGGCAAAAGACTTCTCGTCTCGGCTTGACTTCTATTACCTTTCATTTCGATATTTAATGATAATATGGGATACACACACACACACACATACCTATATATATTTCACGTGACACACGTCCCGCAGCACTCGATTTCGTCGCCATGATCGGTCGATTGCGAACATATCCGCGGAGAAATAAATGCGCGCCGCGAAGCAGTGTATAAAAAATTCTTACGCGATTATATGTCGCTACACTTTATCATGCATTTACCGTGGAATCGCTTAGCCTTGGGCATTTTTGCTTCACACGTGGAGCGACACGTTATCGAAGAGAGTGCGATTTCGTATATTTCGGACAGAGATGAGCTATAAACATCGGAGATGTGCACTCGGAGAAAAAGACATGATGATGGCAACTATATAAGTTGTTGGAATTGTATGAAGTTTGCATATAGAATTAATGTACATAATTTAATCAATAATTTCGTAATTATTGCAATAACCTGAACAATTATAAGAACTGTATATTCTGTAATTCTCGTAACCAGTTAGTTGTAATAGCTGTGCAAAATAATTTATTAAACTAAATATTTATTAAGATAACTGCGTGAGAACGAGATTTTCTTTTTTTTCTTAATAAACATATTTATATAGATTTCTTTTCCCTTTATTATTTTCTTTGAGAAGTTTTGAAAAAAAAAAAATACAAAATATTTCTAATTTGTATTGATTGTGAGTTAAAAAAAGAATAGTAGTTTAAGTAAATCAAATTTAACATTTGATATCACGAAACTTCTCCGAACGTATCGTTTAAAGAGTTAACTGCATAATAAGAAAGACTCGTACAATTGCCACCACAAGTATCTTTCTCCGAGTATGTGCGAACTATATAGTGAAACTGTTTATATGACGATATGTAGAGACCGGTATGCGTCTCTCGTGTGTCGTTCATGAAAGATGAAATCGCGAGATTATACCGGGCGCGAATTAATGGAATAAATTTTCCGCTAATCTCGATCGATCGGTCAGTCGCATGACGGGACGGACACCCATTTCATCGTGCTGCAATGCGACGCGCCTACGTTCCCATTGTGTCCCTGCGGAAACCGTTCTTAATATCGCGACGAGCCGGATCGATATCACATTATCTTGCGGCCGCAAATGGTCGGGATACCTCACCAAGAAAGGACAACGAAAATCCTTATCGAGCGCGCGACGACGAGAGAGAGAGAGAGAGAGAGAGAGAGAGAGAGAGAAAGCGACGATAATTCCACCTTGCCCCGCGGACGTATGCTCTATTTATCGTGCGACGTCGACGATAAAACATTAACGTAACCACCATAATCACCCGGATGAAGTGATCGTGCGCTTCACGATTAAAGGTGCCGATAATCGCCAGCTCTTCCCTTACACCCGCGCTCGTGATCGAGCTGTCTCGTTAATCAGAAGCGACTCACGACTCTGAAGCACACTAGCGCAAGAGTCTCGAGGACAACATCGCGAGGAGGTTTATGTATATCAGCAGAACTCGCGGGGAATACCGGTATCTTTCTGGATCAGAGATTTTTCCGAGAAAATGCATCGCCGGCGCGATGCGACAGGTAAGAAGCGCGACAGATGCCAGGCAAAAAAGATGATGCTCGATTTTTTTTTGCAGATCGGTGTGCGTTTGCATGACGGGGCGAATTTTCTCGTCCGTCCAATCCTCCGGGCGATATTTCAGGCGTATATTAAACAGTCACTGCTTGAAACTTGTCTCTCAAGTGAGATATTCAGATCTCAGTTCGGAGTCAGATGAGAGTTTTACGGGCGAAATGTGATTACGGATATCAATGTCATATGTGTTATATGACGCAACTGCGAAAACTTGGACCTAACTCTGAATGAAAATCTGAGTCTCTCACATGAGACGAATTTCAGGTGACAACTATTAATGCGGATCCTAGTCAACATCTTTAGAGTTCGTTTATGCCTGTTTCGACGTGAAACCCCTCAGAGACGTCGATATTGCCTTCCGCTAAGTCCTGCGAATGCGATAATAACTAATGACGCTCCTATCGTCGTGCGCAAAATGTCGCTTTTCTGAGAGATCACGAGCGATACATTTAAGATAAAAGTAGTGGTTCAATGCCTGGACCACTAATAACCCTGGCATCTAACTCTGGACATCCTTATGGTTTTGGTCTTTATAAATACGAATATTTAGTATCGAACGACTCAATATTGAATCTGGTTGGCACATCCAGATTTGGCCCAACTTGAAATGACCAAATGTCCCATTTTCGGCTTCGGTCAAATTGTCCCGATTTACTCCAGTTTTAAGGATTCTAAAAATCCTTCTGACAAAAAAGACGTTCTCATGAAAATGCATAGCTCTGGCAAATGCAGCTTTGCTTCTTCTTCTTTTTAATTTTAAAGAAGGTAAACAATTTTTATATTTATTGTACACGGGCTTTCATTGTTGTTAAATTATTGTTCATATGTCTATAAGTATTGTTTCACATATATATATATATGTAAATATATAATTTTCAGTGATTTCCCATCTGCACATTCATGAAATATCCCGGATTTAGAGCTGGGAGATCTGGTTAACCAAGCACACCGTTTTGTGTCTAATGGTCATATTTCCTGTTCTCTTCTCTCGAAGAATATTTGAATACAATTCCCCCGTAATATTTACGGCGATAATACGATTCGCACGTGACACGAGTTCATCTCGTGAACGCGATCGCGAACGCGAACGCTCGTGGATCATCCCGCGAGGTCACGCGTCTCCCGGCACACAATGCAAGCGAATTGCAATCTCCACGAGGCAGCTAGGTGTCTGCGCCCGCAACATATGACGTCTAGGTCTCAACCCAGTTACTCGCGACGAAGCTCGCGTGATGTTATTAAGGGGAGTGTCTCGATGTCATCTCGCCGTTCGCGCACCGAAGATGGAAAAATTGTACGCGCGGTACACGTCCGCCATATGAATGATTACTCTAATTTTGAGATCGGACTGGGACTAATCGCCCTCGGGGAGACTACGAAGCGTCTGTCGAACAAAAGTCGCGACGTAACGTACATAAGGAACGTATATAAGGAACAGCCCAAAGATCATGATGGGTTTTGTTCATGTATTGATTGTGAGAACAACAACGGCAAGAAGATCGCAAAATGTTATTTTTAGAACATAGAAAAGTATCCGTGAAAAGAATATTTTCGATCCTTTTTCTATTATCACTTTCACAATAAATACGTGAACCAAACGTGTAGCCAACATAATCCTTGGACTGACTTCCCTAATCGTCTTTAACCCTTAACCTTTCGTTAGTCGCGCGTTTTTATGGAAGAAAAGTGAAATTTTCTTTAAACATTTTATCAATTAGAAAGAAACTAATATCCTTAAAAAATAGTCTTGTATCACTATTAACAATTTTTGATAGTTATTTTTGATAAGAAGGTGGGGGAGAGAAATACGGCGCGTATCTCTAATCTTTGTGCCGCACCAAAACGTTCAGCATCTCGCAGGTATCCGCGACTACCGTAAGGTTAATCGAATAAAGGGAGGAACGGGAACGAGTTGAGAGAGCGAATTAAACTGCGGCGGAGCGCGGCTTTAGAGACGCATCGATCGGCGAATGGGTTGCGCGAAAGAACGCGAGTTCTCGCTGGATTCCGAGGCGAGTGAAGTGTCGCAATGTTTGCACAAGAGTAACACAGGCATGCGAGTTAACGGTACGCGCCATTTTGCGCGGCGAATATTGCAGGTCCCGGGGCATTGTCGAAGCCCCGATCGCGGAACGAGAAGCAGAACGCGATGGCCAACTATCAGGAGATGCCTGAGATCGTTATTGACAATGCCATCGATATCTCTGAAAGTGCAAGTGTTCTTGGTGGCCGATAATTGTGCAGCGGCGGCGAATAATCAAAAGAATAAAAACAATAAAGACAGAAGGAAATCTACCGTTCGACAAGTAGCGAAACGCGACGGACCGTCGTAGATATTTTTCTAAATAAAATATATAGCGAGTTGCCAAGTCAAAATTTTAGCCCTATGTTAAACCTTGAATTCTATAACGCAGCAGGAGCTAAATTAGCAAAGTAAGTTTAATTTTAATGATACAATTTACTCGCTTAATTATTTTGATATTCTAAATTATTTTGATATTATAATATAACCTATTTTGATGCTAAGGAAAGTAAAAAAAGAAACTTCGGGCATCAACAGAGTTAAAGTATGAGTAAATTGTATCGAGCTCAATTTCGAGGCATCAGATTGCGATATCGCAAATCCGTCCGCCGCGAATCGAGTCGGCAAAAAAGCGGATGATCTCTTTCACAAAGTCAGAATTATCGGCGTGGAAGCCGATACGAGTTCAATTGCGGCATGAGCCTTCTATAATTCGCGGTATTTACAATCGATTTACAATGAAATAAAATACATGAAGTGTCCGTAATCGATATCGCACGTGCGAGAACCTGCTACGCAGAGTCGAGTCGCAAAAGATGCGTTGTCGTAATTTTTTCATAGTATTTACGACAGAATCGATTAATCAAAGGAGACCAACGAAGAACTCGCACGATATGCAGGATGTCTCACAACCACCGTAAGATATTTTAATAGCGTATTCTGAAGATAAAGTAGAGTTAAAAATCCTAATATAAGAATGTCAAGACTACAATAATTTTTGAATTATAATCGATAAAAAATTACCAGTAATATCGCGTAGAATTCACGCGAATTCAAGCCCGTAGTTATGTAGCACACACATCGTTATAACATTTGTTATCGACTTCACAGTTCATATTAATTTTTACTACACAGCTGATTCCTGAAAACATTAATAATTATTATTGTTATTATTATAATTATTAAATTTAATAGTTTTATACTTAAAACAAGGATTTTTGCGTTTTTGACCTGAAAAGTAATCATGGAAAATAATTTATTATTATTTTTATATTTTTTACGTTTTATGAGAAGTGAAATAGTATAAATCGTATTTTTATGATTAATTTCCATAATTATTTTCATGTCAAAAATATATAAAATCCTTGTTCCTCAAATGTGAAACTATTAAATATAATAATTCTAGCAATAATAATTATTAATGTGTTTTAGGAATCAGCTGTGTAGTAAAAATCAATATTAATTGTGAAGTCGATAACAAATAATAAAACGATGTGCGTGTTATATAACTACGAACCTGTGCGCGCGAATTCTACGCGATATTACTGGTAATCTTTAATCGGTTATAATTTAAAAACTATTGTAGCCTCGACATTTTTGTATTAGGATTTACGACTCTACTTTATCTTCAGAATACGCTATTAAAATATCTTACGGTGGTTGTAAGACACTCTGTGTGTATATATATAACTCTAGAACTCTAAACATTCAAACGTTACATAAACTCTAAACACGAGATAAATTTTACCCAGCGCATTTTCATTTGCCCATAACTTCCGAAAAAATTATCAAAATTCGATTTTTTTTTATAAAGACAGAAAATATCAGAGAAAATAAATCTATTAATTTTTGCGACTCAATGAGGTGCTGAAAAAAGTTATAATAAACCAATAAAACACGTGTTTTTAAAGTCGATAAAGTTTGAAGAGTTGGTCCGGGTAAGACTTAATTGTTCAGAGAAAATTCTAGAGTTAAAGAAACTAAGAATAACAAAGGTACTCGGCCAAGAAAGAAATAAGCACGAGAAAGCGAGAAAATATAAAAAACGCCGCAATCGCAGTGCCCAACTCGTCCATTCGCTCACTGCAATCGTGTATAGTCGGCAGGTAAAAGGTTGCAACACTTTTCTTTTTAACTCTCCGCGTCTTTTGGGACACATTTTCGAGATTTTTGAGACCTAACGCAATCTAGGTCCGTCGGGCAACTTTGAATCACCATATAATTATTTTAACAGTCAAAATATTTTTGAACACGTCTTTTTCCAGAAACGTAAAAAAATCTCAGCTATAAGATAGTAGCGCAATAAAATCTAAATCTGCAAACGGATTTGAACTATTTTGAAATTTCCCCGAATCCGATGCAAAAGTTGATTTAGTAAGTATTTTAGTATTACTGATAACGCGTTCCTTTTTTTCCAGATTTAATTATTCATACTTCTGAGACTAAATACCGCGAGCGTTGATTGCAAGTCTTGCAAGAAAAAGTGAGTAGGTGTAGCCTTCAGAAATCACCTCGAAAGTTCAAGTAATTCCGCGCATTGTTACAAGTAGAAGGTTAATAAATTTTGTTTCGATAAGAGCAAGTGTCGAACTCGAAGGAATTCTTGATCCAATAGAAAAACTCTTTTCTCTTCTCCTTTGATAATTCTCTCACAAGATTCTCTCCTCCATTTACCATAATTGTGTGTACGCGGAGGGTTAATATTAGTTTCGCTTCGAGGGGAAGTAGGTTTCAATTCGAAAGAATCGTTATCCTTATATGTAGGAAAATTTATTTCTTTTTTTTCTTTTTGTTCGTAAGGTAAATTTTCCCGTTGATAGACGACGTGATATAAACAGTATGTACAAAAATTCTTAAAATAAAAATTAAATAAATATGTACAGAATAAAAATAAATATACATGAGAGTGTCGCAACCTCTTCTCTCTCTATCTCCCTATCTCTCTCCCCCTCCGCTGGCTGTGCTGTATTTAGACAACGGTCGTAGAAATAGAGCCGGCGGAACCATCGCGTTGACGCAGCTCGTCCAAAAACGGCTCCGCTCTATTATTCCCAACACGCCTCGATTATTTCTAGAAACATATAAACAGGAGCGCGATTGCCCACCGCGCCGGCCAAGTTCTCGTTATCCTGAAAATCGCGCCAAGTGCTCGACTCATTTCGCGCGCCCCCGTGTGCCGTTTCCTCTCTCGCGCATTCTAATTCATCCGTAACGCCGCGACGTGCGCAAACGAACACGGAGCAGCGTGTGTACACAATTCGCGTGTCGGAGGTAGGGAGAAAAATATACGCTGTGCAAACGGAAGGGACTCCTCTCTCTCTCTCTCTCTCCTCCCTCTCCTGTCCAATCTATTCGCGAAATTGCACTCGCGCCACGTGCAATAGATTCTCTCCCTCCCTCTCTCTCTCTCTCTCTCTTTCCTTCCGCGCATCTTTATTAACAGAAAATTACATAGCCTCGCGACTCGGTCGTTGGATTTCCTCGGACTCTCGACCGGTTCGTCGATCGCGCGCTGCTCATGACGAAACTAATGACTCGCCTCGATCACGAGGACGCCGTCGTTTTCGTTTCGCGCGGTATCGATACTTATCAACGGTCGTCCACGTGTCGCGCGTGAGTCCTTGCCCTCTTGCCCTCCCCCGTCCCAAATTTTACGTAATTTCGAGCAATTTGACGACGCGCGTTACACAGCGCGTTCACGGCCTCGTCCGCGTAATCGTAACGCGCGAAGGTTCGGGCGAGCAGGTAAACGAAGCGGCCCGTACAAAACCGGTTCTCGTACGGAACTCGTGGAAAACTCGCGTCGAGACGGCCGCAACGCCACGAAGCTGGGCTCATCGCGAATGCTGAAAGAATACTAAAAGTTTCGTAACAGCGCACTTACGTGCCGCATTTCCTCCGCATTGTCCGCCCGCCCGCTCGCGCCCGCGCGTGTGTGTGTGTGTGTGTGTGTGTGTGTGTGTGTGTGTGTGTGTGTGGGCCCGTGTGTGATAGCCCATCGCTGAATCGATCCCGGTTACGCTGGCTGGCGTGTGCCCAATCCAATTCTCAACGATCGTTTTACTCATTAACGAAACTTCGTTCCTACCGTTGACGTCAACGCGCGAAAGTGTTTCGCGTCTCGAGAGCCGTCGGCTCGCTCCTCCCGAGGGATGACGATCGCTCGCGCGTGGCTAATGCAATCTTCGAACTTGCAATCGCGGCCTCTCGCCGTTTTCGATCTATCCCCCTGCCTTCCCCTTCGCGACCGAGCGATCTTGGCGCGAATCGACGTTCGCGTGTTCGCGACACCTATCGACGACTCGCACCGTCGGCGCTGGTTATTATGCGTGATTACGACATGTCGCGTTCTTCCGTCCACTGGTGTTCACGTTTCCTCCGTTCGTCGAGATCGCCAGCCAAGGTCGCGTTTATTTTCCTTACGCCGGCGATTATCGGCCTGGCGATGATAGCGCGAAAACATCTCTCGATCGCGCGCGCCCGATCATTATTATTATTAGTATATTTGCGCGCACACACTGCTTTGAGACTAGCGCGCCTTCTGTTTACGAAGGAACGACCTAGATTCACGCTCATCGCTCTTGATAACGCGTTTCTTGTAACATTGGTGTTACGACACACTGAGAGGGTATCTTTGCGCCGCGGCAATCGTGTCATGTTAAGGTAATTAAGAGTACCTTGTCCTGGACACTCGTGTTTGCTTTTTAGTCTTTGAGTACGAATATTCAAACTTTCGACGTAAAATATGCATGCATACACGGAAAAAACAAGCTGAATTTCCTTTTACTTGTGAGGACCAGATGAATGACTCGGTTGCAGGAACAGAAACATTCTTGCGGAAGATTTCTGCTCGGCCAATTGCCCTCAGTTGCTGCGACCGAGTTTTAGCAGCTGACGAACGTTCAAACGAATGTTTACGATAACAATAACAGAGATAATATTTCTCGTCAGCGAGTTTTTCATTTGGCTCCCGTTTCATTCAGTTACCCGAATCGAAATTGTTTTTTCAATATATTCGCGTATATATTGAACTTGTACGTGCATTCCATGTTGAAAGTTGGAAGATTCATACGTTCAGAGAAGAAAACATGGTAATGGCAACTGTATGGATAACAACTGTACATAACTATACGAGTTTTGTACGTGGAACCAATGTATATAGTTTAGTGGACTATTTTATAACTATTGCAACTAAAGCTCGATGGTTGGGACAACCATATAAAGGATCTATACAGCTATACAGATAACTACATACAGTTCTCGTGAATATTTGCACACTCAGGGAAAAATACATGGTAATAACAACTATATAGATGACAACTATAATCTAGTATAGTTATCACCGCCATGCCTTTTTCTCAGAGAGTATTTAAACCAGAGCAATAAAAATGTCCAAGACTAGGTACGCGTCCGGGAATTGTGATACTTTTACCTAAATTGTTCCCGAGCTGTCGAACATCTTTCCTCATACGCGATTCAAGGTGGCGAGTATCTCGCGCGTGTGTTTGCGTTTGTCTTACCCGAAGAATGCTCGCGCGCGCGCGCGCGCGTATGTATGCGTGTGTCACGTCGCGCTCGTTTCTTTTCGTGTTTTTATCTCACGTCGTAGGAGAATCATACGCCTCTGATCCTCTAGTGTAATGCGCAGATAACGAGAAACGAGAGTCGGACGCTGTTCGATCCAACAAGCGCGGGGTTGATGAAGAATCGCGTTCTTCGACGAGACGCAATGTCTCGACGAAACAACATATCCGGTCTGCCCGTACACACGTTGAGGAATATATCTCACGTGAGACGCGCAAGTCGCACCGCGAACACCTAGAAGCTCGCGCGTCTTCTCCTCCAATTGGTCCGCCATCGGCGATCGATGGAAAAAAAAACGTGTTTCTCATATATGTAAATATTACTTTGGATTATCGTGTATGCGTGTGGATGTATGTGTGTGCATGCACGTGTCCATATATATGTGTTTGTGTGTGTGTCGCGACTAGTTATATAAATACGAATCATACACGCGGCGAGTACTCGAATCGTACCCTCTCTTTCTCTCTCTCTCTCTCTTTCTTTCTTCCTATCATGCTCTCTCGCGCAAGCTCACACTCTTCTCCCATACTCTCACCCATTCTCTCTCATTTTCTCTCGACGAATAAAGAAGATAGAGACAAACAGTAGACAACGATGCACGATATGATTCTCTTCGGTATGTTGCGTAGTATCTACCTCTCGATTCGAGTATCACGTGTGTGTGTGTGTGTGTGTGTGTGTGTGTGTGTGTGTGTGTGTGTCGCGAAGGAAAACGAGGATGGACGGGGGACAGAGGAGGCGAGGGTTGCAAGGGAGGGTTGGAGGCTACGCGGGGAAACACGATGCAGGCAGAACGTATAAGGGAGAGAAGCAGCGGAGGAGGGAGGACGTCGTACGCCAAGACAGCGAAGAAAGAGAGAGAGAGAGAGAGAGAAAGAGAGAGAGAGGCAGACTATATGTACAAGGTACAGTGACATTTCCGACGCTGATAACAGTTAATCATTGAGAACAAACTTTACACACCGGCCTCCTCCGCCGACGGGGATAATAAAGCTATCTTGGGTGAGGGAGAAGGGGAGGATTAAAGACACGGGGATGGCAGAGAGACACACACAAATATATGTATATATATATATACGTATGTATATGTATAGTATACAGCCGTTTCTTATTACGTTAACGCGAATCGACTTAATAACCGGCTAAAAAAAGAGATTTCTCCATGTAAAAAGTGATGTTTTGGCGTGTTGACGTTTACATACGCGACAACAAACCAAACATTACGACGCCTCCGATGATTTTTGGACGCCCAGCGACGCGGGGGGTGTACGCAAACGATCCCGTCAACCGCGTCAATTCCGCGCCGCGATTTATCTCCACCCTCCGCAGGTGTGTGCGACGAACAAGTTCAGTCGCGAGACGCGACGGAGCGCGCGGCGAATCGCCACGTGCCGATGCCATTCGCGTGTAACCTTCCCCTTTCTCTCTATACTCAACCACGGACTCCTCCAGCTCTCTGCCGCTATCTCTCGGGTAACACACAACCTTCGTCGGAATCTGCCTCGTGTGAGAAAGACCTCGCCTCCTCGAAAGCTTCGCTCTATGTTCGCGTTCTCGACAGAGAGCTTTCGTTCGACACAAGCGCGCGCGCAAGTACACATACACACACATTCTCTCTTACACACATGCATCGTTCTCTCTCTCTCTCTCTCTCTCTCTCTCTTTCTTTCTTTCTTTCTCTCCATCTCAACTCCCTCGTTCATTCTCTCGCGCTCTCTTACTCTCTCGAAAGAAGCGAACCACCAACATGACGACGGCGATGACGAAGGAACGTCGTCGCGTGTCGATCCGACGAGACGCGACGACCACGACGACGACGGCGACGGCGATGACGACGACGACGACGACGATGACACGTGTATCCACCTCTCGGTGCGAGCAGTCGGTAGCGGCGCGTTCAAAACTCGGCAAACTCCTTGGCGCACTTCTCGGTCAGCGAGATCCTCAGAGTCTCCTCCTCGTAGTCATCAAAGTTGCTGGTGTCGCCTGGTCCCTTGCAGCGCGGTATGAACGGCGCCTCTATTCTTTTCTGGAAGACGGCTATCCAATCGGTGCTGGCGAACCACTTGTGGCCCTTGATGTCGTTGACGCCCGCCTTGAGGTTGCCGTACCTCTTGGTGAGGTCGACCTGCAGCAGGTTGCGCAGCAGGTCCTTGAGGTCGGAGCCGAAGTGCGAGGGGAAGCGTGGCTTCCCGCTGACGATCTTCTCGTAGATCTGGATCGGCTGGTCAGCGAAGAAGGGCGGATAACCGGCGGCCATCTCGTAGACGAGCACACCCAAGGCCCACCAGTCAACCGCCTTGTTGTAGCCCTTGCTGAGGATGATCTCGGGCGCGAGGTACTCGGGTGTGCCGCACAGAGTCCACGTTCTGCCCTGCACCCTCTTGGCGAAGCCGAAGTCGGTGACCTTGAGGTAGCCTTGCGAGTCTATCAGCAGGTTCTCCGGCTTGAGGTCCCGGTAGATCAGATCGAGGTAGTGCAGATACTCGAACGCGAGGACGATCTGCGCCGCATAGAAGCGCGAGTGCGGCTCCGAGAAGCGGCCGACCTTGCGCAAGTGGCTGAACATCTCGCCACCAGGCACGTACTCCAGCACCATGTACAGGTAAGAGTTGTCTTTGAAGTGGAAGCGCAACGACACCAGGAACGGGAAACTGATCGCTTGCAGTATCCTCTTCTCGTTGAGCGTGTGCTCGACCTGCTTCAGCTTCACCACCTTCTGCTTGTCGAGTATCTTCATGGCGTAATACTCCTTGGTGGGTTTGTGCTGGACGATCATGACGCGGCCGAACGAGCCGGTACCGAGAGTCTTGATGCGTTCGAAGTCGTCCAGCCCGGCGGTGTTGGTTGGGTTCTTCTTCCACTTGTCCTCGAACTCCTTCTTCGCCTTGTCGAGGAATTCCTTGACGCTCTCGGCGGCGTCGACCTTCTTGTTAGCGGTCGCGGCATTGTTGCCCATCTTAGCTGCCGCGCTGGCACTCGAGCCGGCCAGGGCTCTACGGGGCTCGAAGTAATCCAGAAGACTGCTGCGTCTTCGTCGAGATCCGTCCGCGTCCGCAGCCGCCGCCGAGCCTGCCAGGGCTCCGCCGAGCTCCGGTCTCCTCAGAATTTTTGCCACCTTCTACGCGCACACTGCTGCTGCTGCTGACAGCCGCACACGCCTGTCTTTCAGTCAAGCTATGACAACGATGGAGCGGATCTTTCGCGTTATCCACCACCTTCCTGCTAACCCGTAACTGGACTAGATCTTTGGAAATTCAAACCAAATAGACGACGACGACGACGTCTCTCTTTCTCTCCCTCGCGGCACGCGACCGGGTGCCGTGCGAGGTTGATTAATATCCTTCTGAAGAGAGATGTAGAGAGCCGACGAGGAGCACGCACACTCGCACGAGTCACACGGTAGAAAAACGGGCCACACACACACACATGTACGCACACGCAGGAGGAGAGGCGCGCGCGCGAGAGGGCACCCTCCCGGCGCAACCCGGAGTCCGCTCTCTCCTACGGCTTTCTTCCCCGCTGCTGCCGAGTGTATAACTCCTCGACGACTGTCACGCTCCGCGACACGGCACACGGTGGCACTCCACTCCCTCGACCGCGATGTGAGCGAGAGCGACAGCGGGGACGAGGGAGACGGTGATCCTGCTCCTCCGTCGTTCCTCGACCAGAGGCTCCCGACTCCCGGAGATTTGGCGCGTCGGCAAAAAATGGGTCAGCAGCGATCCTCGTCCGCGGCTCGCGCCATCTTCCCTGTCAATTGTACCAGCCTGTCGTCGTTGTCGTCCGCGGCGGCGGCGATGCCGTCGTTTCTCGCGGATCTTTCTCTCGCGCCCTCCCGTTCTCCACGGCTCGTCTCTCCTCGCAAGGAGACGTTTCGTTTACCCGAGCTCGTCGAGCACCGCGCTCACCGTCCCACTCTCTGGTCCTGTCCTCGAAATCAACTGTCGCACGGCACAGAATTTCACCGAGTGCCGTCGTCCAGCGGGACGCACTTGGCACGCGCAAAGTGTCACCGCAGGAAACAGGAAAGAATGCACAACACACGTATGTCTCTCTCTCTTCTCTCTATGTCAGTGTCGAGTCAAGATTCGCAGCGACACTTCGACGACGACGGCGACGACGACGACGTCCCGACCGCCCGCTCGTTCGTTCGTTCTCGCCAGTTGTCTCGTCTCCGCGGTGGTGTCCCTCGTGATGCTCACGAGTGAGCGAGGGGCAGCGGGACACTTGACAGACAGATGAGGGAGAGAGAGAGAGAGAGGGAGGCAGAAAGAGATGTTTCGCGTCGGGCGAGGAAGTTACTCGCGGCGCACAGCTCGTTTCCTCGCGTTTCCCCAGCACGAATCTCGGTACACGAACACGCACACTAGTGGACGCCTGTCTCTCGTTGTCGCGCGATGTCGTTTCGCGTCGCGTCGCGGTTGGCGAACGGCGCTGCACCGCAGGCGGCACGCTCTCCCCCAGGTGCACGAGATAGTCGTCGGTGCTCGGCTCGCTGCCGCGAATCGGCGGAGGCTCTCGACGCGTCGTCGGCGACGAACGACGGCGATGACGTCGGAGACGACGGCCGATGGGTATAACCGTGCCTAAAGATGGCGACGCGACTCCTCCTCCGCTCGCTCGTTCGTTCGGGGCTTTCGCACGAGTGCGAAAGTGACGAAGTACAGCTCCACAAGGCGAGAGAACTACTGTGCGCCGCGGGTCAGCTGCTGCTTCCGCGTGTCACCGACAGATGTAGCGTCGCGCGAACGCCGCCGCGGTTCGGTCGGTGCTGCCGCCGCGCGAGACGTCCGGAACTGAGCCGCGGTCGAGTAGTTCCGAGTTTCACCGGCGATGTTAGCGCGCAAGACGGCGCAATTTCAACGAATCTTTTTCTGGATCGCTTCTCACGTCGTCTTCGTGTTCCTGTGTGTCATGATGCATATGTATTCTTCAAATATTTTGTAGAATTCATCCACGTTGAATGAATGTGTCACCCATTAAGCTCTCGCGGTAGCTACAAGCAGTTGAAAAGATACAGAATAACGATTTCGTACGGAAAACCCGTATGGAAAATCCCACGATGACACGCACACGATAACTCGTAACCGTCGAAAATGTTATTGGCAAATTGTGCAGTTCGCGCAACAAACACGATGGCGTGTTTTACAAAAGTCGAATATTTTCAAAAGAATCTCCTACGCAAGGACAAAGAGGTTTGGACCCACTTGGTGCAATCCTTTCTTTCATCTTTCTTCCTTTTCTGTGTGAAACGAGACCGTTTCGCGAGGTCAGGGTGGCACGGGCGCTCGAAGCCGGCCCTGTCGCGCGACCAGCTCCGGGAAGACGATTGTGTCACGTTCTTCGATACCGAGGACGACGGCACCTTTCTGAGTCAGCAGACCGAAAAACTTACGTCGCATCGGCATCAAGGTTGCTTCGGAAATTTGGAAGCGTTGAGGTCACGCGCATGCGACGCAAAGCCCGGCGCGCTTTTATCTCTGTCAAATAACATTGTCGGCTCAGCCGTGGATCTCGCGACTTATCACGTTCGGAAAACGCGTCAAGCTCGACGCACACGGGCGCACACACTCATGCACGGGTAACGTAACCGCGAGGATTATCACGAGTAATCTAACGTCGCACCCGATATGTCGTTACGAGTCGCGATAAAAACTCTCTCTCTCTCTCTCTTTCCTTCTCGCGGGGTTTTCTCAACACATTTCGCGCTGCACCGTATGCGCGCTAGTCCGTCGAGAGGTCGGTCTCACGTCCACTATGCCCTTTGTAGCCTGCACCCACGGATTCGCGATTCTCGCTGACGGCGAATTCGCCCGGATGCGCCGGTGCCCGGCAGTGCATGATAAAGGGTAATTCGCTAAGGGGCATGGATGTGACATAAAGATGCCCGATAACCAGCGCAACGTTCAGCACGAATTCCGCCGAGTAACGTTGGCGCGCTGGCTCGCGTTGAATATTTTATTGACGAATCACTTGTATCCTCTATGCATACGCCTCTCTGTGTGAACTCGTGCGTTCGACCGAGTTGTGGCGCAGTGTACCTTCCACATTTCGGCTCACCCTAGTCATCCGTGACTGTTTCATCTATCTCACGACTCGTCCACACATTCTCTCTCTCTCTCTTTCCTTCTCTCTCTCTCCCTCTCTCTCTATTCTCTCTCTCGTTTTTTTTGTTTTACCATAATTTTTTATTCTATCATAATTATTTTTGCATCATTTTTTTTATTTTACATATTATATCGTCAACATTATCATATCTCAAGTTAAGTCTTTTATCGCGCTGTTAATACGTGCTTAAATTTTCTTTTTTTTTTTATTATTAATATTTGTTCTCTCTCTTTTCTTTTCCTTATCATACTTTTATATATATATATATATATATATATATATATACACTGTACTCCTATTACATACTGTATGTCTAAAGGGATTTTATCCCAAGGCTTCATAAATCTTTCTCTCTCTCTCTCTCTCTCTCTCTCTCTTTCTCTTTCCCTCCCTCCCTCATATTTTAAATTTTAAATGGAAAGTGTCTCCTGCGTCATATCCGGTACATGTCGAACCGCGAGCGCTATGCAGATCGAGAAAACAGACCGTGCTATATCATAATGGTATTTCTTATCGCGGGATTATCGAATTGGAAGAGGTCGAGAACGAGTCGGCAGTACGAACGCAAAATGAAATGAACATTAAAGCTCGACTGTGTGCGATATTTTCCCGAGTTGACGTATGTTACCGCTTCAAAAATTTCATTCGCGTATGCCTCGGAGATAAGACAGACGACTGGCTGTTATGCGAATGAAATCGACTGTTTAAATTCGATCCCCGAGAGCGAGAGCTTATTAAAAGTACAAGTCCCGTTTGCGCACGGATGAGAGCATTTGATTGGATTAACCAAATGCCTGATGAAATATGAACGAGCCAAAATTCCGGCTGAGAGAAGTTACCGGAATTCTGGTTCTGAGTTTCCTTCATATTTCAACAGACATTCAGTTAATCCGGCCAAACTTTTCTTCTTTTCCACATGTAAGTGTGCTTTCGCGCGGCGTTACTTTGTGAAGACACTTGATCAGCAACATCTCCGCGAATCCTATTAGATATCTCTCTTTGACTTCGGTGACGTAGACAGAGACGTAGTCGCGCTAAAAACACGACGTCAAATAAATCGGTCCGCTTCACGTGCGAGTCGTACAAATGTCGTCGACGCGGCAATACCGTCGCCGTGATCGCAGGATAACAGACGGGACTTGTTGCTGTCAGTCATGTCAACGGGAACCGGTTCGAAAGCTCGACGACCGAAAGACCGACGTTCGCGTCGCGCGATATAGCCGTCGTGACGCTCGGCGTCCATTTAAACGTACATAATGAGAAGGGTTCGGCGACGGTGGCAACGGCGTCGTCGTCGTCGTTGTCGTCGCCGACGACGAAGTGAACTATTAATAATGATCGAACGGGTGTCGCGGTATCGAACCGTGGTAGGTAGATAGGTATACGGAAGGTTGAACACCCGCTGACCTGTGATAATCCTTTGCCGATTAGTGCCCAACTGTAGACAGAGGCGGCGCGGTTTTAGAACGATCGAGTGGGAAAGCCGGCCGTCGGACAAACAGAGAACGACCAGAACGCACGCAAGCGCGACAGAAAGAGAGAGAGAGAGAGAGAGAGAGAGAGAGAGAGAGAGAGAGTAAAATAGAAAGAGTGTGTATGAGAGAGGGACAGTAAAGTAGAGAGAGAGAGAGAGACAGTAGAATAGAGAGAGTGAGAGAGACAGTAGAATAGAAAGAGTGAGAGACAGTAAAATAGAAAGAGTGAGAGAGACAGTAGAGAGTAAGAGAGACAGTAGAATAGAGAGAGTGAGAGAAACAATACAGTAGAGAGAATGAGAAAGACAGTAGAGAGAGTGAGAGAAACAGTAGAGTAGAGAGAGTGAGAAAGGCAGTAGAGAGAGTGAGAGAAACAGTAGAGTAGAGAAAATAAGAGAAACAGTAGAATAGAGAGACTGAGAGAGATAGTAGAGTAGAGAGAGTGAGAAAGACAATAGAGAGAGAGAGGAAGAGAGAGAGGAGAGAGGGAGGGAGAGAGAGAGAGAGAGAG